GATTATTTCTGTTGATATAAGAAATAATCTCGGCCGACTTCGAAGACGTCGGCCGCCCCATCTTGGTTTGTCATATAAGAAGTAATCTCGGCCGACTTCGAAGACGTCGGCCGCCCCATCTTGGTTTGTGATATAAGAAGTAATCTCGGCCGACTTCGAAGACGTCGGCCGCCCTAAGTATTGTTCATGATACTTGGGGCGGCCGACATCTTCGAAGTCGGTCGAGATTATTTCTTCCATAAAGTTGTTAATCCCTTAGGATTCGGAGATTACTTCGAGGACGTCGGCCGCCCCAAGTTATGCCCGTGATACAAGAAATAATCTCGGCCGACTTCGAAGACGTAGGTTGGGTTGGGTGAAATCAAGTCTACGCTGCTTAAAGTTTATTCTGCCCTACTTTTATCCCGAGTGATAATATTAACAACTGTATGGAAGAAATATCTCGGCCGACTTCGAAGACGTCGTTTCGTGATATAAGAAGTAATCTCCAAGTATCATGAAAAATACTTCACAGTGATCAAAGGGAAATATAAATATTGATGGTGGATTAATAGAAGTAGTGGAGGATTTTACGTATCTGTGATCACTTGTAGATTGCCAAAATGACACAACCAAAAGAATAAAACTTTATGAGAAACAGGATGTTTTCAAAGATGCTTTGAAGAAGGTCGTGGAGAAGTTAATAAAATACATAAATCGGTTACAAAAATCCTTTATTTACAAAATAATAACAAATAATGAATAAATGCATTTGCGCAATTATCACAATAATAAATAATATGCATAAAACGATGCGTATTGTAGAATTACGAATACAACTAATGTGCAATATCAGCATGGTGGTTGCCTAACATACAATAAGAAAAGGTTAAGTGGTTACAACGTTATTAAAATAAATAATGATTGCCGTCTTTGATGACGGGTTAATCAATTAATAAAACAGTAACGAGATCAGTGTGAAAGGTTTTTTTCTATCTGGAAAGGTGCATACAATCAATTTTTTTTCAATTTTTCCGACTTTCGTAGGCACTAAAATCAAATTTTGATGCCTAGGCTTTAGTAAAAAACATGTAATAGAAACAAAAATTATTATATTTATTTATAAATTTGCAAACGACGTTGACTAGATTACAGTTTTTAACCTTTTTCGTGCAATATGAAAAAGTTAAAATGATTTTTTAAGAAAATCATAAGTACCAATAGAAAATAATCCTTTGGTCGCTAGCAGGGTGCATGCACTACATAACAATAATACATTTAACTCATAACGTATGACAAATAACTTTATGAGTTAATAGTACATTAAACATTTAAAAAATATAAAGTATTTTCAAAGTACTTCTTTTTCTGGATGTTGTATTAAAACCGCTGTAGGAGTTCCAGCTCCAACGGAAGTTGAACTATGCGCCGTATTTGAATTTGACCTTTTGGCTCGATAAGCTTGCCGTCGTTTATCAAAATATTTTTGTACGACATAAATGTAGGGATCGAAGGCAAAATAAAACATAATCAAACTATCCGCTATCTTATTCAGGCCGACTGTCAGTTTATTATCCTTGTCCAGATGCATGATCGGGATCATGATCTATAAAAGAAAATCGTAATCGCATGTTTATTCGGACCACGAATGACGACTATCACGCCTATTTTCTTTGAAATAGGGCCATTTGTAGCGCAAATAAACAAATAAATTAACACAACACAGAGGTTACGAGGATGTGATTTTAGATTAAACTACGTTTAAATTGAGATATTTTTTTGGCAAGCGCCCAATAAATCTTATAGACTTAGCCAAAAGAAAAATAAATACAAAATAAATCAAAATATACTTTACCATTTGCGGTAACCAACAAATGATAAAAGTAATACACAAAACAGCCATCACTTTAGCAAAGGCTAATTCTTCAGTTGTCGCATTTTGTCTGCAACGTTCAACTCGATTGTTCATAGTCGATCTGCTAATTCTTCGAATTAACACTTTTCGTTGATTTCCCATTCTTGATAGTGCCATGAATACTTTTGTATTACAATAAGCGATACAAGTACATAGAGTTACACCTAAAACATTTATTTAATCGATTATTATTAATATAATTATTAAGTATTAATTTTTAAACGTACCCACAACAAAATATACATAAGAGTAAGTAACATCTTTAAATTCTTTCGCATCTTTGTATCTTCTGCACACTGGTCTTGACGAATTTGTTTCATTATTAGGCGAATAATAAACTCCAAAACCCGCCAATGGCAAATAAGTTAGGAATAAACCAAAACTCCAAATTGATGCTATTGCTATTTGAAGCACTCTAAATGTTACACACTGTAATAAAAAAATATTAAATAATAAAATAAATAAAAATTTTTGAATTAAAAACGACATCTTATAGCGAAAGCTGGAAACCAGAAACCGGAAGTTATTACATCTCGATTGTTTTTGTAGAAAATCACAATGTTTGTAGTTATTTTGAACTTTTCACACATTAAGGTCGCGGTTCAATCACGTGATGTTCGCAAAAGTGCAAAAAAAATTTGTATAGTTCCGCTGTTGGTTAAAAGAGGTCGTCGAGAGTGCAATTCAGTTATTCATAGCGACGCTTTTTTATATCAGCTTACAATTAGTCATCCTACCGTTGAAATATTTTATTCATTGAGGAATATATTACGCCTTACGCGATGCCTATTCTCGATATTATTTGGAGTTCTTTTTTTTTTTTTTGCGAAATGTTAATATTGTTATAGTTGGTGTTATTTTCATAACTTAACATTTTTACTTTTAAATAATTAATTTTTATTTTCAATTATTTATTCAAATATTTCTATTACCTAAATGTTGGTTAACACAAATTTCTCAACATTAACAATGGATTACAACAATATTAAACATTTTCGACCCAATTTCACAGGAATCAGATTTTTGGCCTATACAGGGTGGATCAGTTTTTAATCGGGAAGCTTTGCTAGGATGTAGTACTTGCCAAAATAACACAAGTTTTTTATATAAACATAGGGTCCCAACTCTTTTGTTTTCGAGCTATGAGCTGTCAAAGTTGAGCCAAAAATTTACATTTTATCTTTTATTTCGAGTATAAGTAAACCATAGAATTTGAATTTTTGTATGTATGTACTACTGGCTGATACCTTATTTTCAACCATACCTTAAACTTCCCTAGCACCCTCTAAGGGGATGCAATTCACCATCCCCTTGATTTATTTTATAAGAACTTTTTAACGCTATGTAATATTAACATAAAAAAATATGGGTTATAAGCACATACTTTAGTGGTACTTTTTTGTCTCTTTAGTATTTTCTTTAAGGTGGCGATTCGAACCTCTTGGGTTCATAAAATTGATAAAAAAATCGGTTTAATTTCGTCAGTCAATGATTAATATTTCAACAATATTCATGCATTTAATTTTACAACATTACTGAATTCGTCACTTGATTATATTGTATACAGGGTGTTTCGGTGACTCGGGGAATAAATTTAACCACATATACTAGAGTGAAAATGATGACGATTCATGTAAAAAAAAATAGTAAAAGTCTTCAAATTTCAAAGATACAGGCCATCAAAGTTAGGAAATTTTAACACATTTTTCCAAATATCTTAAACACTATTTACAGTAAAGCGCTGAAATTTGGTACAGTATAAATCAATGTCGTGTAAAATTGTTAGGCAATTTATGAGTTGGATCGGTCCGCGGGAACAATGCTTACCGGCTGTTCCTAAAGTTTGTTTGCTCAGAACTTTTTTATTCTTTCATAACCCTACATTTATTTTTGCAGTTTCTAATAGTAAATTTAGTTTAGAAACTTTTATTACTCTTAGATAATATTCATAAAAATCACCGTTTTCGTGTTAAATCCAAAAATGTTGGGTTCCGATTTCAATAGTGCTATTACCAAAAAAAAAGAAATCTAAGTTTTTGAACATCGTTTAGTATTTTTTATTACTTGTCTTGTTATTTTATGTACTTTTTTTATTATTCCTGTTAGTGTTGATTTTCAATTTATTGTTTTTGAGTTCTTTTATTAAACCAACTAAAACAAATTAAAAATGTGATTTAGCTAAATCTACACTTGGACACGTTGCATACATAATAGTTATGACAGCTCAGTTCGATTTTCACTTGTCATTGCTAATTCAAATTATTTATTTATTTATTTTTTTTAATGTTATTGAATTCGGAGCCTAACATTTTTGCATTTAATACGGAAACGGTGGTTTTTATCAATATTCTCTAAGAGTGATAAAAGTTTCTAAACTAAATTTACTATTAGAAAATGCAAAAATAAATGTAGGGTAATGATAGGATAAAAAAGTTCTGAGCAAACAAACTTTATGAACAGCCTGTATAGCATTGTTCCCGCGTACCGATCCAACTCAAAAATTGCCTAATGATTTTACGTGATGTTAGTTTACGCTGTACCAAATTTCAACGCTTTACCATAAATAGTGTTTAAGATATTTAGAAAAATGTGTTAAAATTTCATAACTTTGATGGCCTGTATCTTTGCAATTTGAGGACTTTTACTAATTTTTTTTACATGAATCGTCATCATTTTCACTCTAGTATATGTGGTTACATTTGTTCCCCGAGTCACCGAAACACCCTGTATATGATGGTTTTTTATTGTGAAATAGTTTTGTAAAAATTGTTATTCTAAGATGGTTTTTTTATTGTAAAATAAAATTAAAGTTGTTATTGATTTTTATTATTTTTTATAATGTAGAACCGTTTTTTTTTTGAATAAATAGTATTATTGTTATCTATGTCTATTACAAATTATTATTACTTTACTTTAGATTATTTATGTTCTTATATCTTGATAACAATTTGCTGTGTTATTTCTTACTTTCTCAGTGTTAATATAATCACTAAAAATTAGGGCGGAAGGACTGTGATCAGCAACTCATTCATAATTGCCTACAAATCTTCTATCTGTTATATATATTTATTTACTCAGTAGTTAAAAGAGAAATTGGCCATGAACAAATGTTATTACCAACTCAAGATTAGTAATCAATTTATAATACGTTTTATAACATTTTATTGGCAATTAATTATTTTTTATATTTATTTTTTTTTTAAATTTTTAATTAGTACCTAAAGCCATCTACAAAGTAATTGCCAAAGGTTTACTTAGTACTGTTTTGTCGATTTTAGGCAACCCATTTTACACCTTTTCGTAATGACTAAAAATTGTGACAAAATCGCATATCTTCAGAAAAAACACATTCATGAAATAATCACACAGCTATTGCACTTTTACGAATACGGAATCTGTTCCTAAGATACATAAGCATTAGATGACATATTTGCCACCTCGTTTAAGTCCCTAATCTCTTCTAGAGAACGATTTGTATTAAGCCCTTATTATGACTAACTTTCGTAATTTATTTCTGTCAGCGTCATGATTATTTTAGAATACTAAATATGTCATTCCGTAGAGTAATATATGTACTTCAAGCCTACGTATTTACTTTTTTATTAATATGTAGCATTAAGTCGTGAATGTACATCTACGTAAGCTCTCCCGGCGTATATAAACATCGACGCTTTGAACCGCCCCCTTAAGCTAAATTAAGTTTTGTTTACATTTTATGTCTTAACACAAAGTGAACCATAACTTTAACATAATTATTGTGTTAATTATCCCGTTCATGTCATTAGGCAGAAATAAACGCCTATGGTTGTTATATATATTAAGCTTAGTTTTGAATCTTATATTACAATGAAATTATTAACAATGTATGAATGATCTGTCACTTATGAGAAACAATTTTTATTATTAGTCATTTGTTCTCAGGAATAGCTCTCTATATAATATATATAAACGTGTTATTTTCGCAGCAACTTTTTGAAAATAAAAATAAGTTAAATGAAAAAGAAATATGCTAGGAATGGAAGTAGTTATTTTATCTTAAGTGTTTTATTTCGTCGCTGTTTTTGGTAACATTAACGTCAATGTAATTGCGAATTTATAGACTGGCGAACGTGTGCCGCATATTTCCCGAGATGTTTACCCTTTTTAAAATGTCGATACGGTTTTAAATTTAAATTGATATTTTAAACTATAATCCGACGAAACGTGATTTAATACGTTATTTTTTGAATACATTTCTGGTTCCGGCGCAATAAAAAAAAAACGTTTCAATGCGTTTAACTTTCTAAAATTCTTTTCAAACAAAACATTGGACTTAAATTGATAATTTCTTATCTCGGTGCAAGTTGAACGTATTTCCTTATTTATGGGATTCTTAGGTTCTATTAAAAACAGAATAAAATAAGAACGTACTTGTTGATAAAAAAACGGTTTCGTTAACGCTAAATATCTTTCGACTGCCATAACAAACGCAACGCATCCAGAACCTAAACCAAAAGCTCTTACTAAAACGAAACCAGCGCACATCCACCTGTTTTTAAAATGAGGAAGCAAAATTATTAACGAAAGCATTCCAATTTGGGCCACCATGTCATTTGCGGCTAAGCACCGTAAAAGAAACACATGCTTGGGGTTGCGTTGTTTTGTAGATTTTTGTAAAATCCACAAGGCCGTGATATGACCTACGATACCGACTACCGCCAGCAAAACCACAACCGTACTATCGTCCTTCATTTTTTTAAATAAAATATTCAAAAAAAGCACAAACTTTAACGCCACTAACACATTCTAAAGAGCGACTGCCTCGTGTTATCTCGACGGCCGTTAGAGAAGAAAAAAAAGGTTCAACTGAGGCTACTGATTACAACGGTCTGTATACCACCGTACCTCAGGCTCAACTGCACTGCTAGAATTTTTTTTGCCTCCACGACCATCCAAATCTAGCTTCCCCCTTGAAGCCAGTGGGTTTGTTATGTTAAACGACAATGTCTTCCTTCATTTCATATTCCTACTATTTAAGCTGTAACTTAATTGTTCTGATAAGAATTTCTTGATAAATTCTATTTTTCAAATTATCTTATCGGAGACACTAATTTATTTTTTCTTTTTTTATAACTCGAAAATAATTAACATTTTACCACATCACATGTATTAATAAAATATAAAAGAATTATTATTTAATAAATAAAAATAGCACGTTAATCCTATTTTTTTTTTATTGGGACAAGAAAAAAATTAAAATTTAATATTGATGTGAAGTTAGCCGGAAATTTTTAACCAAAAATTGGAGCCCCATAAATCGAGACATATAATGTTTAAGTACAGAAAATAATAGGACATTGTTCCAGATATTAATGCTAAACAGAATGTCATAAGGATTAAGAGAAAGAGTCAGAGACTTAATGACAAAAAATCTCTGAATATTGAATATGCAAGAAAGTCGGAAGAAAAAAAGACGATGTGAAGAAGCCAAACATACCAAACTTGACTCAGGCCAAAAGGAAAGCAACTGGAAACTAGCAAGAAACCCAGAATGAAACCAATGCATTGAATAAGTAAAAAAGAAGAAGCCCTAGAAACATGCCAGAATCTACAAGACTTTAAAAAGCAGAAATCTACAAACTTGTGCAAAGTTACAGCAACCTGGTCATCAAACTGCGACATGCAGAGAAAAGGAGAAACACTCAAGAATTAAAAAATGATATTAAAAAGTATAAATATATTTATGTTTCTTGTTGAAAAATTCTTTATTGATTGAAACTTACAGTTGTTAATATCGATTAAAATTAATTAAATTAATGTCATCATAGTTTAGATCGAATTTTTGCGCGATTAAAATACGTTTTCTTTAATATACTTCGTGCATGCGAGAAGGTAAAAATGTTAATTAAAGAGTAAAAATGGAAATAACAAAAATAAAACAGTTCTATTTTAGATTTTGATGATTGATTGCAAACGAGTGAAATAATTCATTTTCGTCGAAAAGAGCCGAAAAGACAAAACAATGAATCATAAATGTTCTTTATTTAAAGAAATGCGGAAATATTGTGAAAAATATGAAAATTTCCAACTATCATGAATAATAATATCTGCTGTGATAACTAAAATCAAACACGCTGTATATAAGTATAAAGCTATAAATCAACATATTCATTTCTCATCTTAGCCAAGAAATAATTTATTGGTTAATTAGAAGTATACACATAAATTTCCTCGATGTTAAAAAAAATGAGTTGTTAAATAAATCGGATAACACGTTCATTCAACTCATCAATCAACGCAAAATAAACTGAAATTGTTTGTTCAAACTCAAGTATTTGAGCTTTCTGAATTGTAGTTGTTAAAACTCTTATAACCTGTCGATTATAACAAGTTGTATAAAAAACACAACAACGTTGCCGTACGAGTCAATTGATGGGCCAAATTAATTTCGTTCGCGTCGATCTAATAATGGGAAGTGATCTTAATGGGCCGGCGACGTTCATCGGGAAACGAAATGATCGATAGGTATAACCCTGTGCGAGACCAAATAAGCGACAACAAACAAAAGGAAACGCCTAATAAGGGTGTTGGGGGGCTTTTTAATATTCATCCCGTGTCGTCGTAACGTGATACATGCACATATTGTTCTTATTTTGGATGATAAACAATAAACGGACACACGGGAAAAGTACTGGGAACGATAACGTCGTTTGAGAAGAATTTATCAACATCCATAACGATATATTAAAATTTATTTATTCATTGTATGTAACCTCTTTCAAATTAATATCAATAAATTAATTTAAATAATCTTTGTATTACAAATGGAAATGTATTTATTATTGAATATATATTTATATATATTACTCAATATTAAATTAATATTTTAATATGCATTACAAAAAGAATTTTTAAATACAAAATCGTACCCGACGTCATCATTGCAAGTATGCAACCAATATCACAGTGCAATACACATCATACACAAATCGCGTATTGCAATAAAAATACTGTGATATTGGTTGCGTACTTGCAATGATGACGATAATTAATTAACACACTGTAGATTTCTGAAAAGTTAGGCAACCCAAGTAATTTATTATTTAATATAAACAAGAAATAATTATTATCTTAATCCTAATCATTTTCCCCAATAAATCCCTTAAAATTAGTTACTTATCTAAAATTATTTTTTAAGGTATTTTAAATTGTGTATTGGTTGTTGGCTAACTTCGTTCTATACATTATAAACGACAGCAAGTGTCGGAGCGTACATTTCGATACGTCAACAATTGCTAAACATAACCTCACGTCGAAAAAATCGGCAGTTTAAAAAAATGGGAAAAAGAAACTCGAAATCATTATAAAAGAATGGACGGTGGAAGACACCCGGAGGATAGAAGCTCCTTTTGGAAGAAGAATAGCAAAACCGTCCCTGGCAGGTATTTAACTATATATATCACCTTTGACCAATTGTTTTAATAATTAGTTGATCTTTAGGCCCAGCCCAAAAAAGGATGTTAAAAATACCCATAAAATGAGGAGCGCCGGGTCTACGTCTTTCCAAGATTTCCAAGCATCAGTTAGTGATGCTTGGGATATGGACGATGATGAATTTTGTATTATATCAGGCACAGAAAGTATGTATATAAATATATCTAGTGATTATAAATTTTCTAAAATTAAATTTAATTTAATCACATCAATCATATTGAATATCATATTGTTATCTCCTGAAGTAAGTGAAAAATGTTAAGATACAAGCAATTTAGTACAATAAAGACAAATTAATTATATACAGGGTGTCAAAAAAAAACGCAACTTTGTTTTATCATTACTTTTTAACTGACCCTGGATACTTAATTAGTCTTTATTGTACCAAATCATTTTTTGCTAGCTATCTTACTTCACAAGATAATAATTTCCTTTGTACAAAAATAGTTGCCACAAAGAATTTAATCAAAATCTAAAATTGTAACATTCTGATTATCAATACATACCTCTGCAATCAGAAGGTATTGTTAAAAATAAATGAATATAACAAAAATTGTATATGCGTAGATATGAAGATATCAAAAAAAGTATCCGAGGCAGCTGCATTAAATGTTTTAAATCGTCATCGTAGATTAGAAAATATATTACCAACAACAAGTAATCAAAGCGGAGATTATACGATTGATTTAACAGAAAATGACCATTTTAAACAAAAATTTCCTGGCCGGCCACAACCTTTAAAAGGATCGGGTGTAAATAGTCACGAAGATTGCGAATCGAAATTAGAACGTTTTGAAGTATTGTTGGCGGGATCGCCGAGTTTAAGCGAATTATGTCAATTAAGTTGGTCGGGGATTCCGTTGAAAGTTAGGGCGATAACGTGGAGATTATTATCGGGATATTTACCAGTGAATTTGGAGCGACGTCAAGATGTTTTAGATCGTAAAAGGAAGGATTATTGGAGTTTTGTAAAGCAGTATTATGATACGGAACGGGACGAGTCATACCAAGATACTTATCACCAAATACATATTGATGTGCCAAGGATGAATCCGAGTATACCATTGTTTCAACAAGATACTGTACAGAAAATGTTTGAAAGGATTTTGTTTATTTGGGCGATTCGACATCCAGCGTCGGGTTACGTACAAGGAATAAATGATTTGGTTACGCCGTTTTATGTAGTTTTTTTACAAGAAATTTTACCTGATGGGGAAACGTTTGAAACGTGTAACGTTGATAAATTGACGGAAGATCAAAGAGGTATCATCGAAGCGGATTCCTTTTGGTGTCTATCAAAGTTCTTAGACGGTATCCAAGACAATTACGTATTTGCACAACTTGGGATACAACGTAAAGTAAATCAATTAAAAGAACTTATACAAAGGGTAGATCATACATTGCATAAACATTTAATACAGCACAACGTAGATTATCTTCAATTTTCGTTTCGATGGTTAAACAATTTATTAACTAGGGAATTGCCACTGCGGTGTACAATACGACTTTGGGACACCTATTTGGCGGAAAGCGATTCGTTCGCTTCCTTTCAATTATACGTTTGCGTTGCGTTCCTTTTGCATTGGCGCGAACAACTTTTAACCGAAAACGACTTCCAAGGTTTAATGATTTTATTACAAAATTTACCAACGCAAACATGGACCGGCTCACACATCAGCTTACTCGTCGCCGAAGCCTATCGACTCAAAGTTATGTTTGCAGACGCGCCCAATCATCTTGTAATCCATTCGGCCAAAAGCTGATTTCTTAGATAGTCTCTTTTTTTTTTTATAAAAATCGTGTTTCTTCATTTCTGTTACTCATTCGATACATATTTTTATAAAATGCGAGCAATTGTCCGTTGTAATATTTGTAAAACTGTTCGAAATAAATATAAAAACTTAACTTTTTTTTCTACTGTTTTAATTTTTTATGGGTCATACTGTAATACTGCATTCAGCAATTTTCGTATTTTTCTCAGTATTTATGCATCTGAGAGTAAAAGTGATAGAGAGCAATATTGTTAAGAATAAAATTTGCTACAACTTTATTTCCAAAAGTTTTTTTGTAGTATGCTCCAAATTCCGAGTGTTTTATCATGAAAAATTAATTAATTTTGATCGTTTTAAATGATATATTCGGATCTTAGTTTCTTACCTTTGTTTGCTTCGACCGCCTCAAGTATTGTTCGTGATGATTTGGGCCGAAATTGTTACAACAAGAAATTATTTATGGCATCCCATGGCCGCTCCAAGTATTGAAATAAAAAATAAATGATACTTCTTATATCACGAACCTAACTTGAGGCGGCCGACGTCTTCGAAGTCGGCCGAGATTATTTCTTATATAACGGACATAACTTGGGGCGGCCGACGTCCTCGAAGTGATCTCCGAATTCTAAGGGATACCGTTAACAACTTTATGGAAGAAATAATCTCGGCCGACTTCGAAAACGTCGGCCGCCCTAAGTATTGTACATTATATTCATGTTGTCGGCCGCTCGACGTCGTCCGAGCTTATTAAAATAAAATTTTTTTTGTGGTGGAGTGCCACAAATAGTATTGTTCGTGATATAAGAAAAGTTTTATTTAAGTTTACACTTTGGCGCAAATCTGGTCGTTCTTAAATAGTCCTTAGCTATCGTCATACCTTTAATAAGATATAAATGACGAAAATGAAAAAAACTTCTGTATGTTGTGCCGAGCTGTAGTGTAGCCTTCTGCTTTTGATAATTGGGCTATGTTAAGATTTACTTCCCAATCCTCTGTAAATTTAAAATGATAAAAAATCAATCCATATTTTACACATTAAAATCAAAGTATTTTACCTTTTATATATTTTTTTATAAAATAATCATCATATAGATTGCTTTGTAAGAGTTGAATAATAAAATGTTTGGTCCGCTACAAATAGATGGCGTGAGAACTTGAATTTATTTTTAATAAGAATTGATTAAAACAACTCGCCTTGGCCTTGTTTCCGGTTCCTGGAGTAGATTGTGCGAGCATTATTGGTCCGCATGATAGACATAGTTCATTACGTCTTGGACATTATCAACTTGTAAATATTATTGAGTACCGTTCTATTTTAAGAGAGGATGCATATGGTTTTGAGGATTAAAAATGGAAAGAATATTTTTTATTAATTGTATTTATCAAATTAATTAATTTGAGAATCGTGAAAACATCAATATGTTATTTCGCTCGCACTTATTAAATTCCCATTCTCTGTATAGACCATTCTTGTTGACACAACGGACATCTGTTGTTTTGTTTCACCCAAAGGGACATACAGCAATTGTGGAATGAGTGGTTACATTCACCCCAAACCACGACGCAGTCTTGTTTTCCGGAGTAGTCCTTCTTGCTCTCGGCTTGGCATCGGAGACAAGCATCTGAAAGGACGAAAAGGAAATCAATTTTAATGGAAGTTTCCTGATCAAATGACTTGTTTAAATCCGTTGACTTTATATGGTCAATCGACTCCGCCTACCTTTCTGTTTTAATAATGACGTTTAATTTTCGGGTAAATGCCAAGCGGAATGTTCAGAATAATCGCCTAAGGGTTCACGTGACCGAAGCAAGGTCTGATTTGTAAATTGTGCTTAAGAGTTGCGTGGAGAGAGACAGAAATAGTACGTCACGATCGTTCGTATGCGATAGCAATCAAGTCGCGAGATTCAATCAACGGGAGCGCGTTGTACCGTTTTGGTACAAAGTCTAAAATAACAAAATGATCAATAAAAAAATATAAACGTCACTGTCGATTAGGATTTAGAAATATTTTTTGGGTCTGGAAACTTTTGTCGTATTCTGTAAATGTTGTTTTCGAGTCAATTATTTTTTTTTGTTCGAATGGAATATTTCAGTAATTTCATCATATATATGACAGGTAATTTTGGGAATAAAAGCGCAATGATGTCACGGCCAGTTAGTAACTACATCATCGTTCCAAGAAAGAAGATTGGACGATATTACGTAATATTTGTTTGTTCATTCGGAATCACGCGCAAAAAATCAAAACGATCGAATCTACCGGTAAAATGGGAAAATTATATGATAAAACCGGTTGCGATATTTCTATTATTTTTTTTTGTCGAATCGCTTCAAGTTTAGTGACCCTCTCTAGTCAAAGTGAATATCCTCCGAAGATGATTTCTACTGGTCGACTGGGAAACACGAAGAAAATTGTATTAAGAAAGATATTACGTAAGAGTAATCACACGACGTCAATACAAAAGCAAATGAAAGCGATGAATGACGATGGATGTAACACACGATGTGTGTGTATGGTAGAAAGAAATAGGTCAGGAAGCCCGGATGGATGTAACCGTTTCGCCATTTAGCGACACCGTATGATTTTTTGCAACTCAATAAAAGTGGTCGCCAAAATACGAGGAAAAAAATCCTCCGCTTCGACGTAAGCAACGCGAACTTTGAGCTCTCGCAAACTAAACGAATTGAGCAACAAACCTTTCAACACAAGCCAATAGGAAGCAGTCAGACAAGCAATTGTTATGCTGGAAAAAAATATTACCATACAATTACGAAGCGCGATTCTTTTTTCTACAGAAAAGACCTTGATTTTCCAATAAATGTATTTTTTTATCGTTAAGAGTTAATGAACGAAGCGGTTTATAAAAAAGAGATGCTGTTTACTCAAATGTCAAAAGTACATCACGAGACTTATCCTTACGTAATCCAGTAGATTAATAAGATTATTAGAAAATTCGAACTAACAACAAATTTATATTCTAACCGATCTATTTTCATAGTTCTCACGAACTGTTAATCGACATAATCACTTCTACGCTTCCTGTACCTTGAAAGCAAATTGAAAAATTGCAACGGAAAGTTTTTAAGAGACCTATACAAAAAATTATTCTATAAAACTCTATGAATGTTTAACAAATTCTTAGATTAATTCTATTTTTAACACAAAGATAACGTTTAATACATTTCTAAAGTAAAGATTACAGACTGATACGTACTTTGAAAAGTATTAATTGTAATTCAAGTTCGTTCTACGTCAGTACACACCTTCGCTTATCGCTTAAATCGACGTATCGCGACGCCAAGCCTACGCAGTTCAAAGTACGAGAGTAAAACGTGAAAAAATGCTAGGCTTCATCTAATCAAATCAACCCGATCGTTCCAAAATGAATCACGATTAGAAAATTACTAAATTTTTATTAAATTATTTAACATGATCAAAATCGTTTTCTTAACTCACTTTATCTGATTAATATGTGTGTTTCGTTTATTCCAGAATATTGAGGAATAATATAAAAAATTTCCTCGAAAATTAAATCGTATTGTGCAATATTTTCGAAATTCAAGGAATGTTCGATTCTATCTAAACATAACTTCAACTTCGAAGAAGCGCAATAAAAAATATATATAAATTTATACTATTTTGATACAACATTGTTTTTAGCTGGAATTTTCACGAGCAGAACAGGGTCACGTTTTTGTTCGGACGAGCTACCTGTCCCTCACAATACGTTTACAACTGGGCCTTTGTAAATTTTACTACTCTCTCAGACAAAAAGACCTTGCCATAAAATGCGTAACTAATTACGGTTGCTATACATCAACAAACATAGAGTTATGCCGAACGATAGGATGTAGTTTATAGACGCGACCTTGATTCAAGATAATGAACAATGGTAACACTAAGACTTTGGTAACTTCCTTGTTCGAATTTTCCATCACTCATTTTTTTTACATTTTTAAAAGCACCAATAGATTAACAAAAATTGTCTATCAAACCATGGTCTCAACTCATTTTGGTTGTATTACGATGAAAACGATAACTCTGAAATTAAACAATCTTGTTGAAGGAAAAAACATTATTAGGTTTGCTAAAGCTCAAAGAATAAGATGGATGTGTCCCTTCTAACGATTGAGCGAAAGCAGAAAAGTATTTGCGAGCAAAACATAGAAAGACATAGAATGAGATGGAGAGATTCTCTGAGTCAAATATTTAGGTTGGTAGTATTGGCCAATATGTTATGTTAAAAAATACACTTCAACCGAAAGTTTTACCTGAGAGGTTAAAAAAAATTCATTCAATAAATTAAATTTTATTGCTGAAATAAAAATTTACATAAAAGGATGATGCAAAAATAAAGGATAATGAGTTGGTATTAATAAATCTGTATAATGATTATTTCGGTCATTTTTTTGTAATGTTTTTAAAATCCAGTTTTTAATTTTAGATAAATTTCTAATAATAAAATTTAATAGACTGATAAATTCTGATTGAAATTAAAATAAACGTGTCTGGTTGTCACATGACCCTTAAGCACTGAAGCTTTAAAGGTCAGAATAGAGCGTAACGTTTCATTAATTGAATTCTTAAGTGGATAAACATGCTACGTAGCACGTATTTTCTGTTTAATTAGAGGAATGAATTGCGTATACGTGGTTGTTTGGAGAAAAAAAAATAGTAAAATGAGAAAAAATTTAGTTGTCTAAATAAGGAAAGATATGTACGAAATTAGAAGTGGGTATAGAATCGATAAACAACAACAGAAAAAAAGCGGTAGTTTTTTTTAATCCGGTATGCAAAAGAACTGGTATGAAAGCTGAATTAATTAAAGTACCTCTATGGAAAAATACTAAGTAATAGTTTAACATGATTTTCGTATTATTGCCATATTATTGCGTCATAACGTTCGAAGTGTTGTTTTTATGTTGGTAGGTGTGCTGGAAGCGGCACACCTTTCAACTTGTTAATATAAGATAATAATGAGAATAACTTAAATTTGAAATAAATGTTTAAAGAATTTATGATCTTAATGATATAGAAAAGGTGTGTCCCTATGACGTAGCCAAAGCACACACCTCCATCTTAATTATTATCTGATAAGAGAAAACAACGGGTATATAACGGTGGGAGAACCCTCGGAGGAACGGTAGTCTGTAAGATTCCGCCGGTCTGTTAACCAATTGTCACTGGTTAAGCAATAAGTAGTGGAATAAAACCGTATAGAGAAGATTGTAGAACGTTCCAAATTTTGATTATCAAGAATGGAGAAAATTGGTAATACCAAGAAGTGGAAATGGTTTCGAAAAAGCATTTCGCAAAATCATTTGGTAAGTATCAAAGAAAAAAATTAAAATGTGATAGAAAGTTAAACTGGACATATTTTCATCTTGGAGTCTGGTAGTTTGGTTACAAGTGTCCTCAGTTAGTCAAGGTCATACTCGGAGTGCGCTTAGTACGTAAGGCCATACCCCTCGAAACTAACCAATGAGAGAACGGCTTGTTGACAACACCTCCAGTCCGGTCGGTGGCCGACCAATTACATCCGTTCTATTTCATCTACCTTCGTACGAAAGAAAATACCGTTTGAACGTTTTTTTTTGCGTTTTCAAATTCCGTAATTTTTCAACATCGGAAGTCATGTAATATATGGTGAAGTGATATTTAATGATTCCGGAGTTCTTTTAATTCGGATGATCGGTACGAACCTGTTCTTGTGGTAACGTTGAGTTAAATCGTCGGCGCCTAAAGCCGTTGGTGGGGTTGGGTATAGTATAAAGTATAAATGACCATGGGTAAACGTCAGTATGAAAGGTAATGTGGTAACGAGTCATTTTCACGTATACAGAAAATTGCTTTTGAGTTCGTTTCTTGAGTTTTGTTTATTTTCGACATCAATATGTCTGGTGGAGGTGATCCCGGTCAACAACGCAAATGGTGGGTGATTTGCCCGGATTCAATCCTTCGTAATAATCCATCGGTGAGTTTCATCTTCGTATAAAAACCGAATCCGGTCATGTTTTGAAATCCTACTACAAAATTATGCAAACATTACATAAGTAATAAACCAAGTGGGCATTGTCAAAAAAATCATTTTGACCCAACTGTTTCATTTAAGAGACTTTTCGCATTTCAGAGTAGCGCATGCAAACGCAATACAGTGCTGCCGATAGATAACTATATGGTATGAAAACGTATTCAAACATCTATCTTTCCTTTTCTCTATTTCTCTTCTCTATATATATGTAAATTTTTCTTCTCTTTTACTTTTATGTAATAATATAAAATAAGGTGTCTCGTAAAATTTGACAATTTCACTCTTCAAGATACTTTCGAGGGACTAATAATACTTTCTTAGGTTCGCTTTCGATTCTTCGAATACTTCCTCGAACTTACTTTCAAAAATCAACCAACGAGCGGTTTAAATTCATCACTTTTATATATATATAAAAAACAAAGTGAGAGTTTTATCGGATTTAATGTATTCGATCTTGGATTATTCCTTAAACAAAACAATTAGTAACAATAAATTAGTAACAAAATAGTATTCTTTGTTTATTCACGTATCTTTCACCGTATAATTGATATTGACCTTTACGTAAGAAAAAAACGGAATAAATAAATTAATTAATTTTATAAAGAATTAATGTGTAAATAGTATTCTTGAAGAAACGAATTTGAATCTATTTCTAACTTCATCTTTGTGGCTCTATCTTTCTCTCTTCACTAAAAAAATGGTTGATGTTGTTAAATTGTTACAGAACGCTGACGGTACCATCAAAATCGGGGATGAATATATCACAATATCGACTATTTATAATCCGGTATGGCAGAGAATAATAAATAAATAAAAACGATTCTAACTTCTAACTAAGCACTTAGTAAAACACACAGGCTTCTTAAAGTTTACGCAAAACACGTTTACTAATAGGATTTCACGAACAACCTTAAAAAGAAATTAACAGCTTTCTAAAAAGCAACAAAAAACTAAAATTGGCGATAAATTGATTCATTAATTAGCGATCAATTGGTTTTTTTCCTATTATGAAGGAAACTTTCCTGTCCGTCCTTAAAGATCCTAACTTCCTACTTCCTGCATGCGAGATATAAAGAAGAACAATATAAAAAAACTTGTAATTATTACCATTAAGGTACACTCGGATTCAAGGTTTCATCGTTGAAGAAAACTTCTCTTTGTCGTTTTAGAAAGAATATCTTATCTATTTAAAATAACGAAGACTACTTAGTGAGGAGGGATTATCGCGCGATTCCGAATAAAAAAATAAGCTCCCGTTAAATGAGCATCTTTTATTTTCAGACGGCACAGCATCAGTTGCTGGCGAACTGTCCAAACACGCCAACAATATCAGCTTCAACTACCACTACTAACTTATCATCAATGGATACATTACAACAGTTCGGTTCAAATAAACGATTAGGAGAGAATTTAAGAAATTTTCAACCGGAAATTGAGCCATTGAAGAAAAAAGCTGAAGACGACGACCAAGTTTATAACGAAACAACGACTCAAAAGATGAAAGGGCGAAAAGTAACTTATTCTCAAGTAAGTAAAAAAAACTTTGATCAAATTCCGCCACGTTAAGGTCGATTTATAATTAAACTAATTATTTTTAAACTCTCTAAGTATAACATAATGTCATGGTTACTTAAAAAAAATACTATTTTTTTTTCCTTGATCTACCTATTTGTTTATCTAGGCTCGTTTAACTCTTTTGGCTTTCACGTAAAACATTCGTTATTTAGAACGCGAAAATGAAGCCGTTCGGCCTGCGTAATCCATGTCACGTTCAAAGAGTTCGAGCCAAAACCCAAATGCACCTTAAGTGCATACGATCAATCACTATAGAACCGGTTAACAGTTTCCTTTCTATTGTAGATCCTCACTGCCGTATCGGTTTCCATCGTTTCCTTCGTCATTGGATTCGTCACTGCATACACAGCACCAGCCCAGAAAGGTCTAGAAGAGGACTTAGGAATCACCAATTACGAGGTAAAACTTTTTTTCATTCAACGTTTTGACCAACTTTGTACTTATTACTTAGTTTAGACCTTATCAAAGTAGATCAAATTACATTTTTTATTTTAAATAGAACCGTTCTTTTTTTCTTTTTGGGTTATCTACTAATTAGATTTAACGTTAATCAAATTAAATTTTCCGTTAAAAATTTATTCTGTGTAAATATGTTTTTGTTTTTTTATTTCAAAATTTCTTTATCTTGAAAAGAATTTTATTTCAATTGAGATAAATAAAATATATTTAAATTTTGGTTTGGAGATGTTAGTAATATTTTAAAATAAGTTTTATTTTTATTCCACCGGTTTAGACTTGATTAAACCGCAAGTATTATGAACAATAATTAGGACGACCGACTTCCTCGAAGTGATCGCCGAATCCTAAGGGATACCATTAACAACTTTATGGTAGAAATAATCTCGGCCGACTTCGAAGACGTCGGCCGCCCTGAGTTGGGTTCGCGATAGAAAAAGTAATCTCGGCCGACTTCGAAGACGTCGGCCGCCCTAAGTATTGTTCATGATGCTTAGAGCGGCCGATGCTTAGGGCGCGAACCTAACTTAGGGCGGCCGACGTCTTCGAAGTCGGCCGAGATTATTTCTTATATTACGGACATAACTTGGGGCGGCCGATGTCCTCGAAGTGATCTCCGAATCCTAAGGGATACCATTAACAACTTTATGGAAGAAATAATCTCGGCCGACTTCGAAGACGTCGGCCGCCCTGAGTTAGGTTCGCGATATAAAAAGTAATCTCGGCCGACTTCGAAGATGTCGGCCGCCCTAAGCATCATGAACAATACTTAGGGCGGCCGACGTCTTCGAAGTCGGCCGAGATTACTTCTTATATCACGAACCTAACTCAGGGCGGCCGACGTCTTCGAAGTCGGCCGAGATTATTTCTTATATTACGGACATAACTTGGGGCGGCCGATGTCCTCGAAGTGATCTCCGAATCCTAAGGGATACCATTAACAACTTTATGGAAGAAATAATCTCGGCCGACTTCGAAGACGTCGGCCGCCCTAAGTATTGTTCATGATGCTTAGGGCGGCCGACGTCTTCGAAGTCGGCCGAGATTATTTCTTATATCACGGACATAAGTTGGGGCGGCCGACGTCCTCGAAGTGATCTCCGAATCCTAAGGGATACCATTAACAACTTTATGAAAGAGATAATCTCGGCCGACTTCGAAGACGTCGGCCGCCCTGAGTTGGGTTCGCGATAGAAAAAGTAATCTCGGCCGACTTCGAAGATGTCGGCCGCCCTAAGCATCATGAACAATACTTAGGGCGGCCGACGTCTTCGAAGTCAGCCTAGATTACTTCTTATATCACGAACCTAACTCAGGGCGGCCGACGTCTTCGAAGTCGGCCGAGATTACTTCTTATATCACGAACCCAACTCAGGGCGGCCGACTTCGAAGACGTCGGCCGAGATTATTTCTTCCATAAACTTGTTAATGGTATCACTCGGGATTCGGAGCGTGAAACCAAGTATACCCTGCTTGAAGTTTATGGAAGAGATATCTCGGCTGACTTCAAGGCGTCCGCCAAATTTCATTCTTAACAATATTGCTCTCTTTCAGTTTTGCTCTCAGATGCATAGATATC